TTAAAAGAAGGGGAGATTTGTAACATCCTCAATATTGGGTTAGTGACTAAATTATAAGGTTTCAAAATTTGGTGATTTAATTAGAATAATTGAATGGTTTAAAGACTTATATGAGAAATGTAGTGTAGGACCAAATTGAAAATGATGAGAAATGAAAGGATAGTATGGTCATTTGCAAAGAAAAATATTTATGAATGATATATATAAATACACGTGGAAGGAAGGAAATAAAGTTTAGAGGTTTCCAGAGTTCTCTTCCTTTCTCTTCTTCTTCACGTGTGAAGCCAAGAGCAAAGGTGAGTTTATGGTTAATTGATTTCTTATTGAATTTTTAAGTTTGGTTTTGATTATCAAGTGACTCTTAAGCTTAAGGGAAGCTTAATTTGTCATAAAATAATAAGAGGAAAGGTATAGAAAGGATTAAAGAAAGGAAGTGAATAAATGAAATCTTGGTAGAAAGACATTTATGGGATTTCTAGACCAAATTTGACTTGTCAAAGGTCTAATTAAGAAGTTAGAAACAATAGAATTGAATTTGGAACATGTTGGAAATTTAGTGTAATTCTTGAATTACATATGGAGAATAGGATTTTGATGTTAAAGATGTGATGAATGAATAGAAATGAGTTTGAATATGTGTGTGTGAGTTAAGAATATAAAAGGGGATGAAATATAAAGAGTTGAGCTAAAAAGAAAGTGAATTTTGTGCTCTAACTGGAATTTATGGGTTGTGTGCATCGATGCACATTCATTGTGTACCGATGCACTCTCAAATAATTAAACATCGAATGCAATGAGTGCATCGATGCACAAGTAGTGCATCGATACACCCCATTAAGAAGAAATCATCGAATGTAATTTGTGCACCGATGAATAGGTAGTGCATAGATGTATACGTTAAGGAATGCATCGATACACTGTATAGTGCATCGATATTCTGTAGAGTGCATCGATACATACCTTCATTAAGAGATGAAATTAACCTTTCTTTTGGTCTAAGGAATGAACGATTAACATATATCAAGTGGAATACTGATATGCATCAATGTATAATTATGTAGATATTGAACGTGACTTTGCTTCAAAGTAATCGAAGGGTTAGAATTGATTCAATTCAAACAAGGCTAAAGTGAGTGCATATGCATAACATAATTATGTTAGTCTATTCCATTCTAGACTTGCGATAAGTCTAGATTTAATATCTTGATACATGATTCATTCAATATTATGAAACATGATATGAATTCATACCAAATGCATAATGTGATATTTGAATGAGCATGCATGAAAAGTTATCTATCTATGGGATATGCTATGTGAATGTGGTAAGTCTATTTTCCATATTAGAGCTTATACATGAGTGTATGTGATATATATTATTGCATATGTTACATGAATTGTGTGAATACATGTTAGTGAAATAAGCTATATATGTAAACTAGTATAAATAGTATATGTGATTACATAGGCTATATGATATAAACCTTTGATATAAGATATAAGCTAAAGAATTATATGATTTGAGATAAGACAGACATATGTGGTTATAAGAGATATGATATGAAAAATAGGAGAAAAGGAAAATGTGATATGTGAAAGTGAACTATATACATATGTGAATATGAGAAATGATATAAGCTATGTGACATTATCTATATGATTACATGAATATGCAATATGTGATACATGTGATATAATATGAAATATATGGTTACACATACATGTGGTATGTGACAGAAGAGAAAGAACAAGTGATATGAAATGTTATAAATGATAATGTCCATGTTATGTGATATGAGAGCTAGGGGTATAGTTGGCATGCCAAGAGTCGAGGGTTTACCTATGTTCTACGGGACATATGGACAGTTTTACCTATGTCTTTCGAGACATATAGACAGTATACCTATGTTCTAAGGAACATATGGACAGTTTAACTAGGTTCTTCGGGACCTATGGACAATTACCGAGGTTCTTTATGACCTCTGGATAGGTCCTTTGGGACATTCATTTAGCTGTGGTGACAGTATACGTGTGCACAACCTCATAGTACTCGTATACCTTGAGTTCTCAATAGTGTATATGATTTAAACAAGACATAAAGAGTATGTATATGATTGTATTTTAATATGGTATTATTATGATTTATATTGTTCCATATGTGGTATGATAAATGATGATATAATAGTATAATTGCATTGGGATAGTAGACTGTATGTTTATATTTTTAGTAATTCTTTATTACGTAATTATGTCTCAATAAGTCTACGACTTAGCGTGTAAGTGTTTTTACACGTAGGTTCTGAAGAGCAAGAAGATCAAGGATAGGAATTTGCAGAGCAACATATCTCCACTCAGCGATCATATCAGAAGTAAAGTCACAGTATGCATTTTGTTGTGTTTAATGCGTTGGCATGTAAGAAATATGTTCGTTACAAATGCTCTGATCAGTTGTGTCTTGTTTTGGTAAAATTAGGTAAAGTAACAATGTTATTTTAAGGAAAGTTTAAAATTTCTTCGGTTTTCTTTAAAAGTTAAAGTTTGTAAAGTAATGAGACGCCTCAAACTTGTATCCGGGTCGGATAACGGGTTGGGGTGTTACATGATGCCGAGGAACGAATATTTCTCCACATTTAAAACATAAATTGTTGGCTCTTCTATATTCCAGCAGACTCTGTTTTGTATTGTTATTAGGAGGAACTAACTTAGGCAAGAAATTATTATTGCCATTGTTATGTTGACTATTTGAAGGAGTGTAAGAAAAAAAATTTACTAGGAAATTTGTACTTCTTCCCTTTAATCTCATTAGCCAACTCATATAGTTTAGCTTGCATGTAAGCTTCAGATAAGTTCTTAGGCTCCAACACTTTAACTTTATGTTTTAATTCCTCTTTAAGGCCACTAATAAAACTGGACACAAAATAATTCTCCCCCAAATGCATATTCTGTTGCAACAAATAAGGCCTTAATTCCTCAAACTTTTCTTGATACTCCTTCACACTCCCATTCTGCATCAACTTATTTAATTCTTCAATAATATCGGAATAATTTCTATCACAAAATCTGTGACACAAGTCAGCCTCAAATTCATGCCATGTCACTCTATACTTCTACAGAATGTAACCATCAAACCAGGTTTCAGCCTTCCCCACTAAATACATAGCAGCTATTTCCAGTTTCTGCTCCTCTGATATTCCAAACAAATTAAAAAATTTCTGACATTTCCTAATCCAACCCCTAGGATTGTTACCATCAAACATTGGTAGCTCTAATTTTGGTCTAGGTAGCACAAAACTTGTGTTCCCAAAAGGATTTTTAAAATAGTTTCTAGTGTCCATATGTTCATCTCCTCCCCCTTTAATCTCACTAGAACTACCCATCCTATTTTCTTCTTGCAACTTTGGATTAATAATTTGATGACCAGTAAACCCCACAGGTTTAGAAGCTAATATCTCTGGTTTATTAGGTTGAAAAGTATACTTCTCATGCTCACTAAGAACCGTAATCAAGCATGGTTGTTTACCTCTATTTTTGTCCTGTTTCTCAGTTGCTGTTGTTTGATTCTTCATTGAGTGAGGTAAATCTTTCTCCTCAGCTGCTTGATTGACCAACTGTAGGATCCTCTGCAAATACCCTCTATTCTCAATCATTCCTTCTTCTAATGTTTGAATCCTTCCTTCCAACTCAGCTTTTTGCTCAGTCCACCATGATGGTAAAGACTCTTCTTTCACCTCCATGGTTTGTTCTGGTACCTCACTGGTTCCAGTTTTCTGCATCTTCCTTGTCTTTCCCAGCGTGAAATCTTTGATTTTGGATCACAAAACTCAGCTTTGATTACCAATTTGTTATGATTTAGGATGAAAATATATAAGAAATTTAGGGATTTTAGAAATAGAGAGACTTAGATACAGAAAATGTGCTTTCATTCATAAGATAATCCTTTAAAGGATCGGTACAAATTATATATATACAGTACCAACTGTCAAAACAACATCTCTAACAAAATAACCGCCCCAAAGCTGACTCACCATTCCCACTTCTCTTCTAATATTGTTCTAACAGACTCAAGCCCAACTTATAAGCCCAACAGTAATTAAAAATGGGTTATCATAATAAACCCACTAACACCCCCCGTGTATACCTTCAGCCGCATCCCTAATCTTCACTTCGATTCCCAATTCTTCAAATAGACATTAATCCCTAGCCTCCTGTGTAATCCCTAAATTCATTCGATTCTTCCCCCAATTTCTGTTGTTGCCTCCCAATCCTCTATTCGAAATTTTCCCCAAATCACCACGATCAAACCCTAATTTCCCTGCCATCATAACAATCGGATACAAGTATGTTTGATTTTTCTGAGCTTTTCCAAGTATTTGAAGGATACTAGAAGCCTCATATCCACATATCAACGTGGATATCAGTCATGGGTATTGCAAGAAAAATTAAGAGTTGGAACAACATAGCACTAAATTGAGATTAAGGAGTTCAACAACATGGTAATAGAGTTACGTTGGTCCATGCTCGAAATTCATTTATGTTACATGATCTCTTGCATAATATGTAACAAATATGGAAAATATTATGAACATGTTAAGCACATTCGGACATGATAATGCAAAACTCAACTTTCGTACGAATGTTAAAACGGATGCAGGTACAGTCACAGTTGTATCTCAAATGCCTATTTTCACTAGTTCCTATTTTCTATTATTAGTCCTTCAAAACTCACATTCCACATATGTGGCACTATTAATGATCAGCTTGAGGTGGTAGAAAATGGCAATTTACATAAAATTATAAACAAACACGAGGCATTGTTAATCATTGAGAGGCATAATAGCAATTTCCACCGGGAGAGTCAGTCAAGGCATGCAACTAATTTATAACAGATGTGCAGGATCTCCAACAAGAAGAGATTATTTTCTTCGGAGAGACATTAAATGTTAATATGTCAAGTAAAAAAGAATCAATTTAAATCGCGCCTATATCTTTAGCATGCTTACCATGTAATGATACAGATAAAGCTCATGAAACATACATGCTCCTACTCTTTAACCCAAGTATCCTCAGCTCTCTCAACTCTTGAAATATTGCTTGAATAAAAAGCAGCCCCTCATCTCCATTTTGAAGAGATTTTAGACAATCTTCAAGAAATTTAGAGTCAGCCGCTAGTGCTTCCAACCTACCATTAAGGTCGGAAATTTCATTTTCAAGACTGGCCAAACCAGTTTCATTGGAATCCTCGGAACCCTTCTGTCCATTGGAAACCGAATCACTGTTTCCTTTACTAACAACTTGATCTTTGCTTATTGAAGTACTTGACCAATCTTCGGAAGGAACACTTCCATTCAACGCTGATGAAGCTTTCTGCACTGGTATATCATTACCTTCCACTTCATGATTTGCATTTTTATCCTTTTCATCAACGAACTCTTGCTGATGTTGGTCTCTGTTTTCTTCTTTATCAAAGTATTCCCCATCAGAAATGTGTGGGTAAGTACCGTGATGAGCAAACGTGGTAACTTTCCTCCCCAAATCTCGCAGACACTCAGAAATGTACAACTTCTCATTTTCAAATTGTGACCATGCAGATTTGGCTATAGGATTCTCCGTCGAAGAATGTCCATCGTTTATGTTGATGCTTGCCTCGGGTAAAGTCCCCTTCAGTACTTCTTCTGACAAGTTTAATCTGTAAAATTCAAGCTCTGCTTCCAGATCTTGTAGTTCTTTCTCCTTTTCTGCCAGAAGATCATTAGCTTTATCCAGAGCATCTCCATCGTGATCCGCTTGCTCATCCATCATCCTTAGGTAATGCAAGGTCTCCATCTGGAGTGCTGACTTTTCTTCCTGCAACCTTGTAATCATAGCCATGGCCTGATTGGCGGCTATCGCAGAGGCATTTCTTTCTTCCTCCAATTCCTTTAATAAGTCTTTCACGAACTTCCGATAATGCTCATTTTGCCGCTTCAGCTTGTCAACTGGATCTTCACCTTCAATTTCATTGAAAGTGCTTTCACCCAAAGATTCAAGGCTTCCAAAGTCACTTCGTTGTGTAAAGTGGTTATCAAAACTCTGAACCCCATAAGGATTGGATTCATCAGTTGTATCAAAGTCATCGCTGTCACAATTACCTTGTGAATGAATTCCTTCTCCAGAAGAATTCTGAGTCGGCAATGACTGTTCTTCATTAACTCCAAGGCTACCAAATTCACTTCTTTCCGAAAAGTAATTATGAAAACTCTGAACCCCATAAGGATTTGATTCGTTAGGTGTCTCATCAAAGTCATCACCCTCACCTTGCAACCCAGGACTTACATTGCTAAATGATAATTGATTCCCTTCTCCAGAAGAATTCTGACCTTGCAACGACTGATCTTGATAACTCCATTATAAACTCGAACCCCATAAGGATTTGATTCGTTAGGTGTCTCATCAAAGTCATCACCCTCACCTTGCAACCCAGGACTTACATTGCTAAATGATAATTGATTCCCTTCTCCAGAAGAATTCTGACCTTGCAACGACTGATCTTTGATAACTCCATTATTATATGTCAGCATAGGTTCTTCCATACCAAGTGCACATTTTTCTTCACCAAAGACGGGTGGCGTATGCACAGCACTTGGATCCTCATCCGTTAGATGTGCCACAGCAATATCATCTACAACTCGATCAGTTTCAAAACCAGCTCGAGATGATGTGCTTATCGACTTCAAGGTTTTGTCATTCTTGTTGATAGAAATACTTTCATTTTTATTTGCTTCAGTAACATCTGTCCCTACAAAATTTCAGATATTAAGCCATATAAGATAGGCCAACACATACAAACACATATACACGTAGAGGAAGGGAGATAACTTACACTTGCCCAATGATGTTTCGTGAGGATTTTCTGTAACATCAACTGAAATGGGGTTATCAACTAGAGAAATAAGATTAGACAGAAACGAAGCACTGCAACTTGGAACTTTCTCAAGGCAGGATGATGCAGGAATACCATCTAGAGAAATAAGCCCCGGCAAAACCGAACGATTGGATTTCTGTTCAGCCAGCTGAACTTTACCGTCACAATCAGGCTGTTTTAATTTAGCCAAATTGTTGTACATTCTTTTAGATGGAGTTTCCGGAGCAGAGTGAACTAGAGATATTTTTTTACTCTCGTTCATATCAGGAACCATACAATTGCAAACCTCATCATCGGAAGATGGAATCTCATGCTCCGATTCAGAAGTGATCTTCAGCTCAGTGAATCCAACATGAGAGGAAGGATCAAATCCAGTTTTTCCGATATGAGTCTCTGCTGGTGTACAAGACTTATCAGTTATCTTCTTTGCACCACTTTGACACTTTATGTGACATGGAAAATTAATGTTTGGATTTGCAACCGCAACATCACGTGATTTTACGGGGAGTAATCTTTGGGCATTTGGTCTTGGAGTCCAACGTTCGTAATATCCAAAACTTGTAGGATCAAACCCCAAGTTTCCTAAAGAAACCCTCTGCATATCTGAGGTGGATTTGTTTTCCTCAATGTGTGACGAGAGACAATTCTCGCACACACTATGACCATCAACCAGCTTCCCATGAATGTTGCAGGAAATCAACGATGTAATCTCTGATATATGCCTGCTGCAAAATAGATTCCAATAATATCCGGGTTCTTCATTTCTGAAAACATGATCAAGCCGAGAGCATACAATGCAAGGCGATTGCAATCCACAATAATGCGCAAATCTTGTCAGCAGGTATGCTAAGGCAGCATCAACAAACAACAGAAGAATCAGAAAACATTCACAAGCAGCGGACTTGAGGACGGTTGCAAACCCCTTCAAAATCCTTTGTACGTGTGAAGTATTGTCTACAGCCATTTCCCCAACAATTTCTCTAGGATACCACAAGGTTCATAACTCGATGAATACCAAAAAGGCTAAAATCGATGCATAAAGTAGTTCTTAACCTTGCAATACAAAGCTGACAATCCCATCCCCAATTCAATGCGGCAAGCTTTGGTTACAAGATAAAGATACAATCAATCAAGTCAGCAATAGCCCCACTTGACAAAAAAGAAAAAGAAAATTTTCAGTGCTAAGAAAACGTTCTAAGCAATCAAAAATTTATAAGAAAACTAAAATTGAAAACACACCACAAATGCATATACTCGAACACACGAGACGTCATCAAGACGATGTATTTCGCTTCAATTCATTGAAACAAATATAGATAACAAACAAAAACCACTCTAACAATGCAAGAATTTGCAACAATATCAAATTCAAACCTTCATTGGCAATAACAATTAAGTGAAATAAATACTTCAAAGGGTCAAAATATTGATAACCAATAATTAAAAAGGACAATGGAGACAGTTTAGAATTGAATCAAATAGTAAACTGCAATCAATTCACATGTGCAGTATAATGCTTAGGGATCATCAACCAACCATGACAGCACTTCAATCAAATTAAAACCAAATACCTAAAACCTACCCCATTAATGTAAATAAAAAAAAGAAAACCACATGGAATTTGAAAGAAAACCCAATAATCAGATCCATTGAAACAGTCAAAACAACACCTTTTCAGCCTTTATAATCCAAAACCCAATATTAAAATGAACTTTCAAGTACAATTCAACATATTGTTCATGATGAAAAAACAAGAAAAAAATTATTATAAGAAAAAAAATAGAAAGCGTATACCTTAGGGGGAATTGAGATGGATTATGATGGTGAGGAAGAGGGGGAAGGGGGAAGAGGGATGGAGAAAAAGAAAGGAAAAAAGGAGGAAATGGAAAGTTCTCTCTTTTTTCCCGAGAAAAGGACTGACCGTTGAATCCAACTGTTGTGATTTTGTTTGGGTGTGCCAAATTAAGGAAAAAGCTTTAAAAGATTTACATTTTGATTTCTTCTATAACTATAATAAGCTTCTGCCCAAATTCATCATTCAAAAACAATAATTCTTTGCTTTCTGTTCTGCTCTTTTCTTCATCTTTTCTTTCTTATAGGTAATCTAAATAAATGCCAATCATATCCATTCATGGATGGAATCAAATCGAATTTTTCTTGATATAAAAAACAAATCGGATTCTAACTCGATTTTTATTCTTTAATTTAAATATGAGTCAAATAAAATTGAGTTAAAATTAAATATTGATCCAAATTTTATTCAGTAATTAAATTAAATCTTATTATAATTTTAATGGTTGAAGATTACATGATAATTAAAAAAAATTAATAGTAAATACTTATTTTAGATTCACAATTTTTATTAAATAAAAAAATTTAGTTGTTAAGTATTTTATTCTATAAATATGGTATAGGTCTTAACATTTATATTTATAAGAAAATTATTTTGGAGAGATGTAATTATTTTTTTAGTTTTGTAATTTTTAGGGTTTATTTTGTTATAGGATGTTTGAAAAGTATTTTGGGATAGACTGAATTTTGGTATATATAGAATTTCAGGATACATAAGATATCAAATATTTACACTTTCTTCCGCAAAGAATGTTAGGAGGAGTCGGAGTTATTTGAGCACATTCTTCCGCAAAGCAGGTGTGGGAAGAATTACAAACGCTACTGTAGAGACCAGCGAAGGGAGAGGTACTTTACGTTACTCGACCAACGAGAGAGGAATGCGAAATTGAAATCGAATGTCGGCTAAGGGATTGTGGTCGTGCTATAATATGAGAAACCGCTAGGCTCTAGATCTACGTAAACGATGGGAAGAATACGAATCGAGCTTTTTCATGCCTAGTCCCCGTTTCAGGTGTATCCACACCAATTAACCCCAGATGCTTCTATCAAAATGTTACAAAGTAGTGTTTTCTCAGTGATAAGGCGGTATTATATATAACGAACACTTTGAGTTACCTTCAGACGTTGCGTCTTTATCTCTTAGTGAGCTAACTGCTACTATAAAGGCGTAGTATGGAGTGCCTAGCAGTTGGATTCTGAACACCGATGGGGCAGTTAAAGCAAACACAGCACTAGCATCAACGAGAGGCCTAATCCGCAACAACGAATGCGCTTGGATAGGTGGTTTCATGATCAAGATTGGAATAATGAGCAGTGCCCTAGCAGAAATATGAGGAGTAAGATAGGGATGGGTCCGTGCCAAATCATTAGGTGGAAGAAGGCTAATCGTAGAAATGGACGTGAAATGGGTAGTCGATATACTTAACGGTGAAATGGAAGAGGATCACACGGGAAATGTATTGTTAAAGGATTGTAAAATGATGCTAAATGAAGGATGAGTCCGTGAGATTAGACATATCTGACGCGAATGGAACACATGCACGGATAGATTGGCGAACATGGCTGTTGTGATGTCGGACAACAACACTTTCTTACGTGAACCTCCTAATGAGCTAGTTTCCCCTATTAGAGGCGAATGCTAAGGATAAAAGGAAAGCTGAGATTGTAAAAATATGTGTTTCTATCCTGCATACCAAAAAAAAAATTATATACAAACTGAACGAGTTGACTTATCAACTAGAATATTTTTACATATCTGACTCATATCAAACGAATTACTTAGAGTTAGTTTAGCATTGCTTTTGAAAAATGCTGTGTAACAGTACTTTTGAAAACGTTGTATAAGATTTAAGTGTTTAATATTATTATTAAAAAGTGTTTTTAAAAAGATAAAATATTTATTTTATACATTACATTATAAAATTCAATATATATTAATTTAAATTATATTTAATTCCATTAATATAAAGATATATGGAAGATTTTAACTTATAATATGAACACATTAATTTTTTTACAAGGTAATATCTGTTTTATAATAATTCTCATCCTTTTGATATTAAATGTTCGTACCCTGATATTCTTAGTGTTTAAACTTGAGACTTTAAAGAATAATAACAATTCTTTTACCCTCGAGGTTATTGGGTTCATACAAAATTTTTATGTTTAAATGCATTTAAATATAATCGTTTTTGAATTAGGATTTGAGATTAAAAAATTAGGAGTAATATAAATATTATAATTTATAGGAAAAGAAATTAAAAAAGATCGGAATCATTTTAAATCTTCAACTTTAATGTGTACTTTGATAAAATTACAACTTTGACTAAATTTTACTTATGGCCTTTTCTGTTAAATGACGGTTAAGATTATGGATAGAATTTAATCTGAAATTAATGGATTTTCACTTAATCTAGTTTATTAGGATTGATTTTTTTAAAATAAAAATAAAAATTGGATTTGAGTCAAGTTCGGATCTGATTATATATAAGAAGATATCGGGTCAGGTGGAGGGTTAAAAATCTCTTACCCGACCCGAAGGTAATATTATAATTTTTTTCATATAAATTTATAGATAATTATTGAAATACCCTTCTCTTTATAGTTTTTTCTAATTAGGTCCTTAGTTTATGTCGGGCCGAGTTGAGTGGAGTCGGATTTATACTTCAAAATTTTGGGTCGAATTGGGTTCGGATAGAGAAAATGTACCCTTTGAATCGGGTCAGGTCGGCCGGGTGAAGGGTATATATTTTTCAGATCGGATCAAATTTGAGTGGAAGATATATTATTTTCAGGTTGGATCGTGTTAGCCAAAAATTCATCCTAACTCGACCTGTTATCATCCATAATTAAGATTTATCAACATGTAATCTGAACTTAAAAAAAAAAGAATGGTGAAATTTAAAATTTCTTGAGATTTTTTTCTTTTATATTTTTAGGGTAAATTACATGCTAGTATTTCAACTATTACTTTTATTTTATTTTGATCATCGTACTATTATTTGTTTAAATAATACATAATATTACATTTTGATTTTATTTTCATCACTCTAGTATTATTTTTAAGCTTTGATAGACTTAATCCATGGATTCAAGTTATTATGCTTCGCCGAGTTAAAAGACATAAGGCCTTACATCCACATTGAAATCTTTCCAACCTTCCCTATAAGGGTTGTAGATGTCGAAAGACATCTCCTCCTTAGTAACCTCCCAACAACATTAGAGATTCCACTTCTTCATATTTATAAGGCCACGAGCCACTTGAAATGCACAAACGAAGTTACCATTGCACCTATGCCTATAATCTTCAAAGATTCAAAGCTTCTCAAAAGCCTCAATCGTTAACTTTTCAGTCCCGACTTTTGCTGAGAGCAGTTGTAAAATGTCTGCATTCAAAGCTTCTTAATGACGTTGTTGTTGTGCAATATTGACTTGTAGAGTCCCTTTCTTTTTGAAGCCTCATTCTTAATTGTTTTGATCTTGCCTCGAGCCTTCACTGCCTCCTATCGGGTCTCTTTTTGCCTTCATTTGAGACTTCACAAATTACTTGAAGGCTTCTAAGCTTTCGTCGCTTGTCTCTAGGCTGCGGTAACTTACTCTCGAGCCTTATTGATCTTTTGAATCTCACTTTGAACTATGTTTTGTTCTAGTATTGATTCTTTAAATTTTTTTTAACGACATGATAAAAGCATTGATAGCATGCAATTCAACCTCTTTAGAGGCAACCCTTTGTCTATGCTCGTTACATTTCGTAGTGGTCCAATTAAATACAATCAAATTTTATTAGTTATTAGATAGAATCAACAACTAATAAATTTATTTAAAAAATAAGGTAATAATCGATGATGATAATATAGGCCCATTTAATGTGGTTGACTCATAGGCCCAAAGCGTTAATGTTACCAATACAAAGCTTCTAATTTCTTCTTCTTCCCCAAATCTCTCTCCCCTTTGTTCACTTCAGTATTTGCTCGAGTTTGGGTCTCGAAATCTCATCTCGAAAATGCTTGCTCGGCTCGCGTCTCGGCGTTTTCTCGAGATTCGCCAGCTTTCCGTCAATCTCCTCAGGTATTCTTTACCCTTTATTTCTTTCTCGTCATTTCCGTCATTTTCTGCCCATCCAAACACCTCCTCGATCTCATTTCGCTGTTCCGCAGGCATACCGATCCTTCTCCACTGCCTTGAACTATGTAAGTTCCAATCTTTCCACGTTATAATGCCAAATTTTAGGGGATTACCCCATACTGGAAGAAATAGTTGATTGAATGAATTTGGGGTTTTCCCCCTGCAGCATCTTGATACCCCAGATAACAATCCCGACATTCCATGGGAATTTTCCGAGGCGAACAAAGCAAAGGTTAGCTCAAATAAAATGTTTGCAATTGGAGTTATCTGTTATATTTTCTCCATCATTGTAGATTGCAAAAACTTTTGATTTTGAAGGTACTAGTAGATTGTGGATTTTGGGATTGGGTAAAAATTTGAGGAGCTCTTACGATATCCAGTGTGTAAGATATTGAGATAAATGCCATTCCTTTTGCTTCCATTAATTATATGGACTTAAAGAATCGCTTGTTACGTATGGCTGCTTAAAGGTTGTTTGTCTAAGCTATGCTACTCCTACTCTTCATTTTTGTTGAAGCATACTTTCCCTATACGCGTGTCCAATATATAATAAGGATATTGCCTTTCAAGGATCTTTTTAATACTTAGAAAAATATTAGAAAAAAGTTGAACTTTACCATATCCAATGTTCGCACTGAGTCCAAGTATCATGGATTCGAAGATTTTACGAGAGTAGAATACATATTTTTTTTCTGTTATTGTTATACCAATCTCTTCTCTTTTGAATTGTGTGGAAGTTGAATTAGATTTAAATTCACTTTAGGTATTTAAGTGGCTTAGTAATTTATTATAACATTTTTAAAATCCAAATTTGATTATGGTCTTAATCCAAACTTACTATGTAGGTCAAGGAGATATTGTCTCATTATCCATCCAACTACAAGCAATCTGCAGTTATTCCTTTGCTAGATCTTGCTCAGCAGCAGCATGGAGGATGGCTTCCCGTTTCAGCAATGAACGCTGTATGTGGCATGAATAATGTCAAATAAATTTGATTGCATGTGTTAATACTCTCTGGTTTGTACGTTTAAATTTTTATGATGTCTGTGATATTTAGCAGGGATAGACACTCGGTTTTATGCTGGGGGAACTATAAAATTTCAGGGGGAAAAACCAGATTATGAATAGAAAATACAAAGAAAACACTTGAATTATATGAGAATTTAAAATTTTCATGGGAGGCGGTCGCCCCCGCCAGTCCCCTCCTTTGGTCCATCCATGATATTTAATTAATATGTAGAATTAGACCTACGATTCTTTTAGACTTGAAAACTAACCACTTTTGGAGGTGAAGTCGAGTATTTTTTTGGCGTAATATTAAATGTTTGCCCTTCCATTTGGTTTCTGATTTGCAATAAATATGCTGTTTTAAGCCAAAATGCATTACAAACTTGTACTTCATGAAATATTTATGGTTTTTAACCTATAATGTTAATAATAATATAAAAGGATTGCTTTTAGATGAATTTTCTGTTCAAGTGAAAGCTGTTTTTGATTACTTGAATAAAAATTTCCCAAATCATATTTATTATATTTTCAACAATTTCCAGGGTCTGTTGTCTGATCTATTACTAACGCCTTTTTAAGTACTCCGTTTTCTTTTTCATATTTTGTGGCATTTATGGATGTCCTATATTGCTGGTGAACTTTGAGCAAGTGGATCGCAAATTTGATACAGCTGCCTGCTGACCTAATACTAATATCCATAAAAAGGATTACTGGTGTTAGCCAGGCCAGCAAGTTGCTTAAGCTTGTCCTACAACTTTACCCTATGCTCTCTACTTTTACTGCACCACTCAAAGCAAAAGGGGAATTCTTAAGCATGTTAGTACTGGACTAGTAATGCCTGATCATGTGTTAATAAACAATGTGATGTGACTGAAGATTCAAGTTGGATGTATAGAGCCTGTAAAGAAAGGAGAAGTTGATACAACATTAGGGGGTTCAAAGCAGGATAATTACATCTAGAACTATTTGAGCTGAGGTTCAATTTGATTGTTAGACTGAATACATAATTGTGTCATTGCTATATTTTTCTTTTCAATAGCTAGTTTTCTCTATCTGAAATTGTGAAAGAATGATATTTGGCTAGATCTTTTAACTACTAAAACAGTGCCTGTGTAAGCACATTTTTGGATCACCTAGTATTACATAGGCATTACTTAATTATGCATCTCTCAGTAAATTTCTGCTTGAAATGGAAAACTGGTAGTGGCAAGTCCGTATAGAGAATGCAGGTTTTTTCCTGCGGCTAAGCAAATTAGTTCAACTAATTTGAATGGATGCAGTCCTTTTCTTAATGCAAAAGCTAGATGAGTTATATTCTGAATCAAGCATATAATTGGTTGCGCAGGTTGCGAAGGTAATAGAAGTTGCACCTATTCGTATATATGAGGTTGCGACATTTTATTCAATGTTCAATCGGTCAAAGGTCAGAATTATATCTTTATTTGGCACCTTGAAGCCTCTTTATGGTACTATCAATGAACAAAGTTACAGAACCTAGAGCTTATTCAATTGTTCTCAGGTCGGGAAATATCATCTATTGGTTTGTGGCACAACCCCTTGTATGATTCATGGTTCACGAGAAATTGAAGAAGCCTTATTGAATCACTTGGGGGTTAAGCGCAATGGTAAGTGCGGTAATTTTTCGTACTTATAATTTGACATCTCTCAAAGCTCATGTCAGAGTTTGGCATTTTAGATAGCGTTGAATATTGAGTATCTATTTTTACAATTGTTCAGAGGTAACAAGCGATGGTTTATTCTCAGTTGGTGAAATGGAATGCATGGTAAGTCTTTTCCTTTGCTCATTACTGGTCTGGATCTGTATTTTCTTAATTAGTTTTTTAGCTTCAAATTTTATGGTAAATAGAAGTATAAATGACAGTAATCATATTTATCAATTTATGGAGTGTTCCTAGAAGATCTCTAGAGAGTAGAGAACAAATGATTGAAAAAGATTTCTTCCTACGATACCGGAAATTTTGTTGTGTAGCTCAGAAGTCAGAATGCATGGAAACCTGTTCGCCTTAACCTGTAGGATAATTTTTGACTTGACTTACCTTATCATCCATGGATTGCTACTTGTCCATACTGTTATGTATTTTGTCGAGACATTGCAATTAGGAGTTCAAAGTCTATGCTATACTGACCTTTTTCCATCATTAGACCGGCAAGTTTGACATTTTACTAATTCATTTCCTGTAGGGATGTTGCGTAAATGCTCCTATGATCACTGTTGCTGATTACTCCAATGGATCTGAGGGATATACGTATAATTACTTTGTGAGAACTTTCAACTTTCTTTATTTACCATAATTCCGTCTGGTCAGTTGACAAAAACCTACTTCAAATTATTGTTATTGTTATTATGGTACATAGAAAGGGGCTCAAATGTTGGGGTGTTGGACCCTAGACCTATTGGATTCCACCTTTTTAAAGTTGGTTGCAATATAGATTAACAGAATTAAACGTTGTTTAAGCCTGAACTTTCATGTTTAAAAATGCAGGAAGATGTTACTCCAAAAGGAGTTGTTGAGATAGTTGAGAAGCTAAGAAGGGGAGAGAAGCCACCGGTAAAGTGCTACTAGTTTTCCTAAGAGGAATTTATTGGCTTTTGCTTCCATAGTGATGCCACTAATGTATGTTTCGATTTCTCTCCCATATTTCAGCATGGCACTCAAAATCCTAAACGTATCAAGTGCGGACCAGAAGGCGGAAATACCACTTTGCTAACCGATCCGAAACCTCCCCCATGCCGTGACCTCGATGCCTGCTAATGTTAACATGTCAGTGCTATCTCAAATAAGGCAAAGCTTGGATTCTTTTTTTTTTTTTGAATAAGCAAAGCTTGGATTCTTCCAGGCTTCTTTGGGTGTATTTTCTTGTTGAGTTTGTCAAGATCAACCAATCATATATTTCAATTTTCCATGCAATTTCAACTTGGTTTAAGTTACGAGATTACTCAAATTGGTTCGTACGACATGATTGATGTCGATGTTTTTGCTGCTATAATCTACGATGAAAGCAGTGGGCATTCAAGTACCTTAACCATGGGATTTTCTCAGTTATCACTGCCTAGTACCATATGTTATTCGAATTTGATAAAGGTGTAGTTCAACACTATGTCATCTGTGTTCAGGACTCGGATTTGGTAATCATGTTATCCGTGTTCATGATTTGGATTTTGTAATCACGTTATCCGTGTTCAGGTTTCAGATTTGTTGAAGTTGATGTAGCTCAACATTATGCTATCTGTTTTCAGGACTCAGATTCGATTCGGTAATGATGGTTGTGTCATCTGTGTTCAGGACTTGGATTTGCTATCGGTGTTTCGGATTCGGTGAAGTTGATGTATGTTGACAGTATGTTATCTGTGTCCGGGTAATTCTCGGATGCGGATTACAGGGAAACTAAGCCCTCCCTTGAACATAATAGGATGAACTTATATTAGATTATATAACTCAACATTATGCTAACTGTGTTCAGGACTCGGATTTGGTAAAGGTGATACAGTTAAACATTATAATAATATACAAACGCTAATATAAAAGGATGAACTTCTTAGTTCTTGAGAGATAATGTGATATAATTTTAAAGTGGCGTTATCAAAAATATTTTTACTTTAAATTCTAAGATCAAACTAGGAGAAATTATTAGGTAAAAATTAAAGGACCGGATTAAAAGTAGTTAAGTTTTAGGGTAAATTAAATATTTAGTCTGCAGTTTTATTTTGATTATTTAATTATTATTTTTAAATCATATATAACGTTATACTTTAATTTCATTATGATCACATGTTAAAAATTTAACGGTAATATTGACAAATAAATGTAACCGCCATAAGTAGATTTAATGCTAGATTTTTTGATTTGTTAATTGTCTTGTCAAAAGGGTGATTGTGGGCCAAAGGATGTTAGAGGGTTCGAATGATTGTGGAAATATAGCATTTGTTCTCCTTCATCGAGGAAATGCCTCGACGCATTTTGAGGTGTGACTTGTTTACTTCAAGCAGAGTTAATTTCCGATCTTGTATATTTTATCTGCGGAAGATTTTTAACGCTTTATTAAAATCTCTCTATCCCTATCCCTATCCCATAGGTAAACATTTGAATCACTAGAGAATCTTTTCCTCTGTATATATATGAATTAATATTATTACATTCCAATTCATTACAGATACCCCCAAGGAAAATCCCGAATTAGATCCTAAATTGACGGGTTAGTGTGAGCTTTATCAATGCGGTTATGCACTCTTCGAATAGGAATCCAGAAATCGTGATTGCAGTTGCAGCTCCAACTTATAAGTAGTTACCAAATGAATCTCGTTTAACATAAACCAACCCACTTCTTGAAACTCAATGCAGCTTCCCTCTTCTTTAGCTGGGATTCTGTCTGGAATTTAGGAGCCTTTCCCTTATAAAGTGTTTTATGGTACTTCAAGAACAGGGTTCGATACTTGTACTTGTCGATGAACATGTCTCCTTTTTCCATCATGTCGACAACTTCGTTAGCTCGAACGAAAAAGCCTCCCCTTACAAAGGTATATAGATAAGAATCCAGAAGTTCCTGATCAAACTTCATTGGGGTGGAAGAAGCAAGTGATTTCATTTCACCCCAGAGTTCGGTTACCTCAATGTATTTTCCTCCAATAGCGGCGTATCCAGTGACCATAGAATGGAAGGTTTGAGCATTCGGTGTATGCCCCAGGCTCCTCATTTTCGCCAGAGCTTTTTCGGCATCTACCATTAACCTTTTCTTACAGAAGAAATGGATTACATTATTCCAGTCGTGTACTCCGCTGTCCAGTTTCTGGCCTTCCCTGATTTCTCGCAAAAGCTTTGCCATTAACCCTGCTTCACCATTGCCGGCACATCCCTCAACCAACCGCTCAAATTCGGCGTTGCCATCTCTGGGTATCTTAGCCTCTTTCATCTCCTTGAATAGACCGAGAGCACCTTCTGTATCCTGTTGAAGCACCCGGGATTGTATCAATGCGTTGTAGCAGTTAGAATCTAGTTGGACCCCAGCCTTCTGAGCGTCTCGTAAAAGTGATGTCACTTCGCATGGGCGGTTTACTTTACAATATGCTTTTAAGAGGGAGGCATATACAGAAGAACCGGTTCTAACCCCAGCAAAACGCATCTCATCCAAGAGGTCATGTGCTTGATCTAACCACCCAAGTGAAATACACGACTTGATAACATGAACCAACGCCGAGTCATCATTGGAAACCGGAGAATCTTCTCTCTCTGCCTTGATAAGAAACCGAGCCAAATCTCGCAGCTTCCCTGCTTCAAGAAAAGCCTTAACCAATTTCACATAAATTTTTTCTGTTGGTTGTAGAATGCCATATGCAGTAGTAATCAATTCAACTTGTGTCTGCAACTTGGATAGTAAATTGAGAAGTACTTCCTTGGCCTCATTTCCGAGTTTAACAAAATTTCTATCTCTAGAGAACTCCTCATATGATATAATCTGATGCTCCATCAAACTGTTATTACGCGAGTCATCAGGTCCGTTTTGGCTTGGATTTGGCCCGGAATTATGTGCAGTAAAGGCTATGTTATCATTTCCAGCAGCTTCAAGCACAAGCGTAGCAGCAGCAAGAGAATTCCGCGCTTCCTTTGCTTTCTGTAGCATTTCCAACACCATATTGGTGGCAGAATCAAGATCACCAAATTTTAAATGGCATGTAAGCAAACAATTATAAAACTGTCGGAACTGAATATCAGTTAAGTTGCAAGCTTCATCGATGTGCCTCTGAAGTTTCCTCAACTCTTCTCTTAGCCCATTTCTTTCATATATGTGTGCCATCATAATCAGCAAGTTTGCATCAGTTTTTACACCAATTCGAGGCATCATACCGAGGAGTTGCTCTGCTTTTCTTGTTGTCCTGAACAAGAGGCACCCGGCCAAAGCAATGTTGAAAGCAGTAGTATTAGGCTTCATAGCAATCAAAGGCGCATTACTCTTTTTACGAGGGTCCACCCTTCCATCCTGGAACAAATAACCCATCTCAAGAATCAATTCAGCAGCTAGGTAAGCACCGGGAGCCGTTTGTGACATGTGTGCCAAGATGGCTGACCATGCAGTTACAGGCGGAAATTGTTCTGTTTCTACCAATTTCCTCAGAATGGTTGACGCAGGAACCGGCAAACTGCATTTAGCAAGAGCAAGAGAAAGATAAATCAGAGATTCCTTCTCCAACAGGTTCTGCTTACTCTCCCGAAAGGCTTGTTCTACCGTCCCAAATGCTTTCTCAAGCCATATAACATCAAGGCTTTCTGCAAAACCCGTCAGAAGTCTGTTCACAACGGATTTTCGGGGAAACCCTTCTATGTGCATATGCTGTTCAAAAAGCTTCCACGTATCGTTATATCTTCGCTCTTCAATTGCATCGAGTATTTCCATATTTAGTTTGGCAGGGTCTCGAGCCTGGACCAAGATTGTACCAGCCATCGTTGAAAATAGCATCAACCTATTTGGAAGACTCGAAGATGCATTTAGCGTAGATAAGTTGTTCGAAAAGGAGCCAGAGACGCAGCAAGCCGGCCTATGATTCCCATAAATTGGATACAGGCATCTGCAAATCCTAGCAACACTAAAATGCCTATGAGAAAGTATGGCATATAAGAAAGAAGAGGAGACGGCAATGAGTGAACCTCTCATTTTCCTCATGGAAAGCAATTTCCCAGAAATAATATGCTAACATGGATCAGAACCTGCAACATTAATATCTTTTTTTCCTCAGAACCCCATTTCAAATGCACATAAAGCCAACTTAAAAACTACAGGTTTAGAAAAGCACCAAACCATGAAAATAAAGGTAAAACATGGCAGAATCAATCGGCATTGTTATGCAAAGAAATGGTTAGTCATATTCAATCGAAGTTATAGTAAATAACAACTTAAACTTTCGAGCAAGCAGAAGTCTAATCCTCGGTGAGGCATTTTATCGAATAAATCAAAGGCATAAACGAATTGACTGAAATTAGCCCTGAATGAATATGAACTAAGCATCATTTTCCATCAAATAGAAAACCTACAAACTTACAGTCAAGTTGGCAACCATGATTCAGGTGGAGCAGAGAAATCATGCTAGTGAAGTCGAAACTGCAAGTTGTTAATGAAGGAAGCCGCCAGAAAAAAATAGAAGAAAAAGGAACAGCATCGTTCTACTCCAATTTCCCAAACTCTTAAGCGCCCATTAGGTTTGGTGTGGGCTTAAGAGAAAAGGCTTAATTCACGATTAAGGTCCTTATCTATACCTATTTTTCCTCTATGGTACCTAGTGTTCCCCCACTTTTGTTTTCCCTATGGTACCTATTTATATAAGGTATTAATACATCTTCTGTTGTTCAACTCGACTTAACTTAAAATATAAGTATAAAATTTTATTCAAATTTACTCATATTCTTCATGATTAATCCAAGTTTTTTTTAAACCTAATGATTAATCTAATTTTATTTTAAGCTTGCTATACTATTTTTAATTTAATATTTAATAATTTTAGATGATTTTATCGAAACTTTAATCATAGATCACTTAATATATTTAAGAAAAAAATCAAAATTATTTAAAATAACAAATTTTATTATAAGTGTATGTTAAGCCTTACAATAATTTTTTATGTTTTTAAAACTATATAGTTTAAACTACCAATTTTAAAAGATAAAATAAACTCTACCATATTTAAAATATAAATTAAATTTACGTAACGCAGACTATATTTTGTATACAACTTTATACTTTGAATATAATTATAAACTATTCTCAATTTTCAAATAAATAATATTTCATATTTCGAATTTGATTTTCTGACTCCGAAACGTCTTTTTTTGTCAAACAATACTGAACTTGGTAGCGGCCTCCTTGGTGCCGCAATCAGCGTCGCACTTCAGCTCACAATAGGCTTCACCGTGGCCATCATCCTCGCATTTCTGATGACAGTCTTCGAAGCATGCGTTGAAACGATCGGCGTCCGTCACCACCGGCCGCATGCTTACCGCCGCCAGAACAATGCACACCAGCACAAACTTGTTGGCCATTGGGGGTTTCGTTTTCAAAAAAGAAAAGAGATTGGTAAAGTTGAATTGAAAATCCGTTGATGGGTCAAGGCATTTGAAGAGGTAAAGAAATGCTTATTTTAGGTACTCGTCCTCAATATGGGGGATTCCCGTGATTGATATTTAGAGGCAAATAAATGTCTATTCTAGGATCACATGTTTTTTTTAAAGTTTTCAGAATATTTTTTTGAAAATGAATTTACTAATTTCAGGCAATATTTTCGGGTAGTTTTGTTGCACGACAATTTAATTCAAGACGATTTTCAATCTAAAATATTATTATGTTCAACCTAAAAAGTTATACAAATTTACAACATTTTCGGTTGCACCCGAAAAGTTACATTACATGGGGTTTAAGGTTTATAATCGAAAAGTTATACAAATTTATAACATATTTTAGTTACAACAAAAAATATTATGAAGAACGTAACATTTTCAGTTTTCAGTAATTAACGATCAATATATATTGTTGACATAATATTTTTATATATATTCAATTGTTGACGTATTATTTATATCATATTCTTTTCGAGTCAATTTAAAATAATATATACTATAAATTTTTGACCATATCATTATATAAAATGTCCCATATTCTTTTCGTGTCATGTTGGAATAATATATACTATAAAATTCTGAACATATCTGATTTACATAATATAAAATAATTAAAACAAAAAAAAAAGGTTCAACATCATATTTGAAATTGGGGGCGGTCTAAAACCAGAAACAGATTAAAAAAGAGTTAATTGTGTCATAGGTGGTTGAATTATGATCCTTATTTTAAATTGATTTTTGAACTTTTGAATATTTTAAGTTCATTCCTAAATTATGACTCTTATTCTAAATTAGTTCTTAAACTTTTAAATTGTAACATCCTCAATACCGGGTTAGTGACTAACTTGTAAAACTTCAAAATTTTGTGACTAAATTATAATAATTGATTAGTTCAAGGACTTATATGAGAAATGTTGTGCAAGATGAAATTACAAAGAAGAAGGAATAGAAGGACAAAATGGTCATTTAGTAAAGGAAAATAATTAAATTTGGTTATGGTATTATATTAACCTACGTGGAAGTGAAGGAAAACAAAAACAAATTTCCAGAGTTCTCTTCTTCTTCCTCTTCCTTCATACGTGAGAGCCAAGCAAAGGTGAGTTTTCTTGTTAGTTAATTTCTTGCTAAATTTAAGGTTGATTTATGATCATTTGATGATAATTAAGCTTAAGGAAAGCTTAAGTTATCTTAAAAATCAAAGGATGAAGGAGTTAGGAGAGATTAAAGATTAGAAGTTTTTGAATGAAAACTTGGAATAAAGTTAATAAGTAGAATTGGAAGTTAAGTTTGACTTGTCAATAGTTGAATTAAGGGATATGAAGTGTTAGAATTGAATTTAGAACAAGTACAAAATTTGGTATGATTCTTGAATTTCATGTAGATGATAGGATTTTGAGGTTAAAGATGTGATGAATGAGTATAAATGGGTTTAAGCATGTGTATGTGAGTTAAGTATATGAAAGGGCATAAAGCATGAAGTGTTTGAACTGAAATGAAGTAATTTTTGGGCTTAAAAAGTGATTTCTGGGCAAGGGGTATCGGTACTCATTCCATCAGGTACCGATACCTCAAGAGTAAAATTTAGGAAGACATTCAAAGGGTATCGATACCTGGGAAGAACAATATCGATACCCAGGGTACCAATACCTTAAGGAAGGTATCGATACCATCTTTGAACAAAAAATTACATAATGCAATATGGGTATTGATACCTAGGCATGATATCGATACCTCAGTTAAAGGAGGTATCGATACCCTGTAGGTGGTACTGATACCCACTTTAAATAGAAAATGAATTTTGCCTTTCCTTTAGTCTAAGAAATGAAAGATTAGAGTATGCCAAGTGGAATACTGATATGTATCAATGCATGATTATATAGATATAGAACATAATTCCGTTCCAGAGCAATCGAAGAATTAGAAACAGTTGAGAGAGAGATAAAGTGCTAGAATCGATTCAAATCAAGCAAGGCTAAGGTGAGTGCATACCCTAGATAGAGTGGTATGGAAATAAGACTTGTGATAAGTCTATTTTCTATAGATGAATCCATGATTTCATATTCATGTACATGCATATGTAGATATTATGGTTATAGTGATTACACGCATAACCCATCCATACTTTAATATGATACTATATGTGATGAATGACATTATCAAAGGATAATTCCAAGTTATATATGAAAGTATAAATGATTATATATATGCATGTGATGTGTTTATATAAGAAAGATAGAAGTGATTTGGAAATATGACAGATACTCATAATTAAGCCCATGTTATACAATATGAGAGCTGTAGGTATAATTGGCATGTCAAGAGTTGAGGGATTAACAGTGGTCCTTCGGGATATAGTGGTCATTCGAGACAAATCTTCAGTGCCCCTAGTGGGAATGTATTTGAGCTGTGGTGACAACATTTTTGCACAACCTCAGTGTACTCACGTACCTCCTGTTCTCAATGATGTACATGGGTATCCAAAGATAAATTGAATGAAAACTCTTATAAGAAGTTAAGGTTCATATATGCATATCATAATCACATATGCTATAGTTTAGTAGATACATGTAAATGGTAAGGTCATGATTGATTGATAGTAGTGCATGTTCATGAATTTATCATTATATGTTCTTTTATGCCTCACTAAGTCTGTGACTTAGCGTGTAAGTGGTTTACACGTAGGTATCAAAAAGCAAGAAGACCAGAGTTATGTCTAAGAAGCAACATCTCTTTTGGAAGCGATCAGATCAGAAGTGCTTTAAACAATATGTTAACTTTTGTTGTAAGAATTATGTTGGCATGTAATTACGGTTTAAATCATAAATGCTCTGATCAATTTTGTTGTAATTATTTTGATAGTATTTATGTAAATTATAGTACTGTTATGTTATTAAAAGTTTTAAATTTTATGAGATTTTGTCCAAGTAAACGTTTTGAAAAGTCAATGTGACACCTCAGATTCATATTCGGGTCGGATACGGGTTGGGGGTGTTATATTTAATGATATCAGAGCTATGATTTAGCCGGTCCTAGGCATAAATAGAAGTTTATAATGGTTTTAAATGAATACATGCCAACAAAAATAGTGAGAACTTCTGATCTGATAAAATAATGAGTATGTTGTTTTGCTAATAGAACGATATGATTATGTTTTAATAGATGTCTGGCTGGACATGATAGTTATTGGAGTGAAGCGGGAGACGATAGGCCCACTGAGAGCTGTAATTCACATGTCCTGGCCAGGCATGGTGAAGAACAGACACCTTCTGGAGTGCCTGTAAGTGATCAAGATATGTTCTTCAGGACGTTGGACGCAGTATTAGCGTGTTTCAACCTCCTGCCTCTTCAATCGAGAGAGTAAATATTGTGAATGAGTTGAAGGGTTTAGGAGCTCCAGAGTTTAGTGGTGAAGCTGAAGAAGGTCTTGTTGTTGCAGACCTTTAGCTCAAAACAAGTAACTTGGTCCTTGTTTTTAGAGGAATTCAAGCACAAGTACATAAGAGATCAGTTCATTCGACAGATGAAGCAATAGTTTATGAATTTGAAGCAATGAAATCACACAGTATATGAATATGAGTATGAATTCAACAAGTTGAGCCACTTTGTTGCTGAACTTATTCCAACAAAAAAGGATGCTTGTGAATGGTTCGTGGAAGGTTTGCGTCCTCGATTGAAGGAGATGCTGATTGTGTTGAATCTGTATTCATTCCAAGAAGTAGTTAATCATGTCAAAGCTTTGGAAAGAGCTCAGAATGAAAGGTTCAAAGATCAAAGAGCTCAAGCATTTAAAAGAACGGGTGTTTCTCCGAGTACTGCACCATCAAAAAAGGGCAGAGATGCTGATTCTCGACCCCAAGCTAGATTGGAGTCAGTGGCATCCTTCGCTAGAGGATCAAATCTGATGAAAGGCAGACAAACTCAGTCAGTGGGATCTGTAGATGGGAAATCTAACCATAGCCAAGTCAGACAATGTCCACATTGTGGAAAGAATCA